TAGAGGAAATTAATAGGAAGTTAAACCCAGGGGTATCTCTAAGGCTTCTTTGCAATCACACTACAGACATCTGTGCGAGTCTCTGTTTTTCAACACACCTGAGGCCTTTCACCTTCAGTTTAACAAATTAATTTCAATGTAGAGACCTCCAGCATATTTAATTTCATCATAGCGGTATTTTCCCTCCCTCCCTCTCACCTTACTTTCTGTTCATAATAATGGAATACTTCACTTACTTATTCAAGCTCAAGTCAACTTACAACTTGGTAGTCCACTGGTTAGGTTAACAAACAAAAATTTCTTATCAAAGCTTGACAGTCAACCAAGATTTTTTTTTTTTTTTTTCCAAAATGAAGTGTTTAAAGCCCAGTCTTTTTCTAATAAGGAAATTTAAGTAAAATATTACTGCTAGTGTGACTGACCTACTAATGGAATTGCTCTGAATTCTGCTTGTTCAGGACATGACTATTGTGCCTTTCGTTCTTATTTTAGTCCCTTAATTCAACACATTTGAATCTAACTTGGTCTTTTATGTTGGTAGAATATAAAAGGAAATATGAAATGCAATTATCATTCCATGATTATGCAATTAAGTGAAATAATTATTGTAAAATCAAAAGTCCAGAATTCAAATGCCCCTTTAAATAATAATAATATAAGTAATTTGTAAGTAAGTGATATAAAGCCTCGTTCTGCCAGTTAGAGTGGTTCTTCCTAATTCTCCCATAGGGCCTGGGGCAGTTTTTGTTGCTGAGTTCATTATGACAACATAAGCAAATTTGGTTTTATCTTGATCTTTTACTTTTTTAGCTTGTTTTGTTTTCTTAGTCACCTGTAACTTACCTACTTAAGTTCCAAAAGTTCTCTGATCTATGCCTTTGATTTGGTTTGTTCTGACCAAGTTCCTTATGGAAACTTACTCTGCCAGTGGACAAAAACCAGCTTTACCAATATATCTTGAGAAGAGATTGCTGTTAAATGATTGTTAAACATATATTTACAGTCATTTGTTGTGAAACTGATGATTCTTAAGCAAAATTTTCAAGGACAGCTATTTTCCCTTCTAGGTATTGGTCAAGCAATACCTAAATGAAATATCAGCTACCAATTTGTAGGTTGCAATAAGGGGCACATTTTCCCCCTCTCTCTCCGTCCCTCATCCTTATGGAATGTTGTAGATATTCTCTTACTAAAAATGTTCAGGAGCCTTCCAGCGGGAACTTATTTATAATTCTAGTGTTGTTGAGTCACCAATTTGTAGGTTGCAATAAGGGGCACATTTTTCCCCTCTCTCTCCGTCCCTCATCCTTATGGAACGTTGTAGATGATACTCTCTTACTAAAAATATTCAGGAGCCTTCCAGTGGGAACTTATTTATAATTCTAGTGTTGTTGAGTGCATCACTTTGATGACATTCATTCTGAACAGGGGTATTTTAGCTGCATCAGTTGAAAACATGAGATGACTGAGACGACAGAGCAGTAAGGGACAACATGGACAATCTCAGAGCCAGCACCAGACATGCTGCATAACACGCTTTCTCCCACTTTTTCTCTTCCTCAAGTAGTCCTCCCTGCCTAGGAACACAGATCTATTTTTTGATCTGTTCTTTTTCCTCAATCTGAATTACTAAATTCTAAATTACATCTGAATATTTTGGTCCTGTCTTATCTCCAGTAGTGGTTAGGAAAAGCAAATAGAGGACAAGATGCCGCTACACTAGGTCTCATCTTAAGCATGGTATCTGCATTAATAACAGGTAAGATTTAATAATCTTTCCAATATTTGTTAACATTAACTATTATAAACTTTGGAAAGTCCTCTACCCATCCACTGTACATCTCTCCAGCTTGACTTCAGCAATTCCCAGTGGTAATAAGTGAGGTTAAGTATAAAATATGCAAAGATGCTCCTTTTTTTTCAATTGAAACAGTATTCAACATCTTTTAATTCCACTGAGCACCTTACTGTTTGTTGTGGAAAACCAGCAATCTGCCTGTATACTTCAGCACCTTATATTTTCTATTTCTGGCTGACAAGAAATCCTAATTTTTTCTTGTTCCAACCTTTCCCAGGGCTTTCTGGCAACTCTGCAGTCTGTATCCCGTCATCCCCCAATATACGGAACCCAGCAGGGCAGCTGCAGAACAGGCGAAGCTGCTGCTTTTTGCATGCATTACAGTTTTAATCAGGCTCTTCAGTTCTATGCTCAGATACTTCAGAAATCTACCACATATGACTTCTTCCGTGATTTACAAAGGAGGCACATATTCTAAGTATAGATAATAATTGCACAATTTAAATGATAATACCAAGATATTTTGTATGGGGAAGAGATTCATGCAGGGCATTTTTACCGCGAACAGCTCTTTCAGAGGGCTATCTATCGTCACACCAGATGTCAAATACAAAAAGAAATACTTTGGCATGAATAACAAAGTTCATTTGACTGAAGGATTTACCTCCTAGGAACAAGAGCCTCATAAAACATAAACACTGGGAGCAAAGTGAGCCACGTAAGGGCTTTTGCAAAAATTAAACCCATAACTTGCCACTAAAAATGGGATATTTCATCTGTTCAATAAGCACTAAAGTTCTCTTTGTTTCTATGGCATCGTAATCTTTGATTACCCTGATAAATATTTGGACTATACAAAACATTGCAATGGAACTAATCGCAGTTATAAAAAAAACTATGTGTGAAAATGAATTGGGAATGCAATGATACCAGCACATTTTAGAGAAGTTCAAATACGGAACCACATTATTTTAACTGGCTCCCGGCCTCATTCTTTTACGTCTCCATGTAGTCATTTACACCTGAGGAAAACAGTTATGGACACTGTTATGCGTGCTGGCTTTGCACAAGCATGGTTAGGTAGCTGTACGGGACATGGAATACCACCCTCGCTCAGTGTGCCTGGCTGAACCCAAACCACACAACTGAATAGCGGCAAATCTTAGCAAAACAATGTGGTCCTGTGCTGAGGATTAGGTGTCTCTGTGCTGAAGCCTATTTGTGGAATTTGCTCTCCCCTCACAACAAAAGTGGGACCCAAGAGGGAGTCCTTCCTTCCCCTTCCCTTCAACTCACCTGCTATTTCCCTTTGTTTTGATTTTATTGCTCAGGCAACAGACCGGAACATCACACTGCTGGCAGATTCTGTGCATAATCTTACTCCACGCTTTGTTTAAAATTACAACTCTCTCCATATTTGTTACGCTACTCTGAACGGCGTCAGGTCGCAGAACAGCTCTAAGCATGGCTGTATTGTTTCACAGTATATGGACTATTCCATACTACTTATTCTTTGACAGTAGGAGAGGGAATCCCTCTGTCATTCAGAGCACCATGCACCATTCAGATGCCAGGTGCCTATATTCTGCCCACAGCTGAGCTGGAGAAGATCTGTAGTCAAGAAGAGCAACTCAAGAAGAGCTTTCCAAAAACCCACAATTGCTTTTTATAATTCAGCGTGAGGAAAACGATCAGACTTCTTTGAGAGTTAGAAAAAAGCAACACTATTACTTTCAAAAGCATAAAGCTTTTCTCTACCTCATGGTATTCTGGGCAGGTGCATTAATGTAAATAAGGTTCAAGTGCAAATCATGACAGATAAGATAGTAATTCCAGTGGTGAAAGTCATGCCTAGTATAGAACCAGCAACATTTATGAAGTGGTAACAAGAATATATTTGAATCAATGGGCTGCATATTTATATCACTGATGCGATAGTGTCACGTACTGTCAAATATTTTTAACATATTACTTCTAACGGCTGAAGTCTGCGTTTGGTTCCAGCAGACTAAACCCAGAATAACTGAACCAAAGCCAATGGAGATACTTCAGACGTCATTGATTGGAACAAAGAACGTGAATTTGCACTTAGCATTTATATAGTCCTTTTCATCTTCAAAGAGCATCACAAACATTAGCCAGTTCTAATTCTCTCACAATGACCTTCATGCTAACCTTTTGGGATAAAAGTAATATACTAGAAGAAAAAAACCGACAAGATGTGTAATCAAGCATACACAAGCCTCAGATGTGTAAACTATCTCTGCCTTGACCTCTATCTCTGCCTCATGGTAGATTTTATCTCTTCAAGAATATAAGGCCTTTCACCATGGCTCCGGTATTAATTCACCATACAATGTATTCTACTAACATAAGAGGATGGTAATAATCCTTGACTAACAGATTTACTACCATAGTTATAGCAGCTATTCCTTTTTTAACAGATAAGGAACCCAAAATAATGCTGCATCAAAAAACTTGCTGGAAGCTGTCACAGGACAAGCCAGGGACACATCTAGGTTAGACATTGGGATTCCGTGGTTTTGAATTCCTACTCTTCATTCATTCTGGGATTTTTTTTTTTTTACTCCTTCCAATTAAAATTAGGATTTTTTAAGTCTCTTTTAGAAAGCTTTTTCAGAAGCAGCAGAAGCTTCCTTTACGTATCAGTTCTTTCTGCCCTCCAACCCAGACTTGCAATTTGATTATCAATTCTGGGTGGCTCTAAGCCCAGAATCTCAAATAAGTTCCTCATGTTCCAGTTGCTTGCGCACTTTATACAGAGGAATAGATTGAAGCAGACAGTACTCATTTTCATGGTGACCCAGAACAGCTATTGTTACAAGAACACCTTTAATCTCCTGTTTCTGTTTTTGAATTGAATTCAAGTGGGGAGAGATGAAAGAAAGCGTCTCACAAATCTGCTGCTACAGCTGGTACTTCTTAGTTTATCATATGCTAGCTCTAATTCTCTTTGATTCTTCTTAAAATTATTGCTTCTATTTCTTAATTTGACAACCAGGCATTCGTTGCTATTTTTTGACTATGAAAAACCCCTCCCCTCCCTCTTTCTTATAGCTACTTCCTCAGGAAAAAAACCCTAAACTTACTGCATTATGATATCAATGTACGAATTTAACTTCCCCCTTGGTAGGTTTTCTTATGCGGCATACAAATGAGCAGCTAAATAACACATCATTACTTACAGTTGAAGAAAAGACTTACAAAATAAACTGACGAGTGAAAGAAGGATGAGGGTCATGCTGATATGAAGGGCATCAGTTGCACTGCAGTCCATTTTGGATTTCTTGCAGGAACACACTTGTAATTTCAGTTCTGTGTTGTTAGTCAGAGGCGGTTTTCCGGAATCTGTCACTGAGATTGGGATGTTGTAATTGGCCTTTTTCAGGTTTTGAAGCAGGATGACCTGGGCATGAGTATCTGCAAAGGATAAGGTGAGAATTAGCCAAATAGCAGGTGTCTGGAAGGGAAGAGGAGTCTGCAAACAATATCATACCTGCCACAGTTACTCATGGAAATTAAGAAGAAAAGAAGAACATTCTAAGGAAAAGATTAAAGAACTGAATTGGAGGTAAAAAGAGGCAGTACAGAAATTCTTTCATGGGCTGAGAGCTAATTGCAAACTTATTCAAAACCCCACCAAAAGAAAGACTCTTAAGAGCCCCTTTTGTTTAAATACATTATTTGGTTTGCAAATTCTTGGCAGAATTTGCCTGTGGAAACTAAGACGCTAATGAAATGCTGAGATGTGCCATCCCCACAGCCACACAAGAGGGAAGAATATCTCTATTTGCCAAAGGATAAAAGCCCTTCTTGCAAGGAAGTACAGGCAAAGCTGCCTAACTGCTTCCCCAGTTTGACTGAGAAAGCGGTGAAGGGAAGTAATGCCCCTGCAAATCCACCGATCGCTCCACCAGAGCAACAGAGGGTCACGGGAGCTATGGGCACCCAGGTGAGTGTGCTAGTTCCTTTAGGGGGTGTCACAGAGGGGGGCTCGATGTTTGGAGAACAGCAAAGAAAATGACTCCTCCACTTTGTCCTGCAGGCAAGTACAGACATCGCATCCATCTTTAGTTTTTTCTAAGAAGAATAGGAAATCAAGTGCTAAAAGATTCATAGTGACAGAGATAAATAATACCTGCTAGAAAACAGATAGATATAATCTACATTAAAAAGGTATGTAGTACTTTGTGCCCACAATTTGCCATATGAACCTTCAGTTGCATAGCATGTGCTTGGATCCTTTTACCAATAATGTGTGGCCCCAGTGCAATTGGGTATTTTATTTGTGGAGAGTTCAAATACTTAAAATCAGGAAGTATTTCAAGTACATTGCTAAAGCCCATGCAAAAGTTTCATGCTGTCCTACAGCAAAGCCTTGTGCATCTCACGTAAACAAATTCCATGCCACGAAATATGGTAATCTTTACAAAACTAGACGTCATTAGTAGCCTTTCTTTAATGCAAAGCTAAAAGAGAGAAGTGTGGTCAACGTAATAAAAGGAGGAAAGAAGTTCTGATTCCAGAGAAATACAGACAGTTAGTATGTCCCACCAGGCAACTGGTCCGAGCAAAACCAGCACAGTGTAAAGCAGCAGCCATGGGTCCATCCTGCAAGACTTTCATGCACAACTGCTCCTGAATTCACATAACGGGCAGCCTCAGGGCAAGTATACTGGGATGCAGAGGTGGGAGGGCTAAATGCATATGAAAAAAAAGTAGACTTACTGTTAATCTTGGTGATTTTCCACAATTTTTCTGGGCCAGATTGCTTACTCAGTTCAAATTTGAATGGATCTGTGTTGGGATGAAGGTCTTTGTCTGATGCTCCTAGTACCACTACCTTGAGATCTTTTGTTTCATCACAAACTTTTGCCAGTGTTGGATAAAGGGATGGGACATTGTCATTGACATCCTCCAAGGTGATGTGTAAAGTTCCTGTACCTGTAGCGGGAGGGTTACCTATATGAAAAAACAAACACAGGTTTATTAAATCATACTTCCATAATCGCTTGCTCTTACTTATACCTGCATGCTTGCAAAGGGAAATAATTGTTATAGTTCTTACCTCTGTTATATGAAAATTATTGCTTTAAAAAACTGATGAGTCACTATTGTAAATTCATGGCTGTGTTTTCAGAATGCAGCCTGTCTGATTCTCTAGAGTATGGATAATTATTCTAAGGAAATCTCTGGGAGAGGAATATTTTGAAGTTACAATGAGATTAGGGCATGAATAGGTATCTGGAAAAGAATCTGTTCATAAACACGCACTGAGAGAAACACGGTAGGGGACATCCCCTAGGCAAACAGCACAGTATTAAAAGAATCAAGAACAAGACGAGTAAGGGGAAAAATGATAGCAGAGAGGAATCAATTTGTGTGGTGGGTGCCCATAAACAGAACAGGACCAGACCATACCCCAACAGCCCCTAGGGCCACGTTTAGTTATGTCAGCAGAAGTGAAACCTGTCAATATGCAACTCTGGAAAATGAGATCTTTTATTTACCCAGAGCCACCCTGTGCTAGCAGCGGAGTTTCAAGCTTTCTCAAATTATTTGCCAGCCTGCCTCAGCCCTGACCTGAAAGAAACAGCTTCAGAGGTGAGGATGTTGTTTATTCACCACGGTACTGCTACAAGCCTTTGCGCCAAGGCTGTGACTGACAAACCAGCCCTGGTGTCTGTAACGGAGACGTCTGCCCACCGGGAGCCGGGCTGAGACTAGCACCTCATTTCACAGGGGTCAGGGAGGAGCTGACAAGCGGTAATAACTTTCAGTCACTACACATGTGCCATGGCTGAGCCAGTCACCTACTGCTTTCAGCCTAAAGCTCAGTATCTTATTACAGATCCCTTTGCCATCCCACTTTAACCGATTTCAAAGTTTTCTAAACGCACGCTACTTCCTTCATTGTATACCACACTTAATGTTTTCTCATTTGAAATGCTGCACTTCTGGGTTTTTTTGTGTTACTCGTTTTTCTGGTGTAGTACAAAAGATCTATGCTCTCTGCACTTCTTAGCCGTAAACCTTTAGCAGGTAGGAGGGATTCAGGAGGTTGCACTTAACCTGTAAAGCAGCAGTGTAATGTGTCATGGTAGTTCCAAGTTTAGCACTGAAAGAAGTACACTTTAGCATAATTGCCCTGCCTATAGCAGCCCAATAAACTACGGAATTATTGCTACACTGCGAGAGCATCCTAAAGGGAGAAGTAAATACCCTGTGGTCTGGATCTGATAAACTACTAACTGCAGCAGAATGCAATTAGTCCTTTCAATAACAAATGTTACTAATGGTGACACTTCATCCATTTCATGCACACAAATGCATAACAAAGGCAGAATTTTCATAGTTCTTTAGCTTTCTCCCCTCCTCATCTTGCACTTTGTCATCAGAAAGGTTAGGGTTGAGTTCTTTTTAATGAAAAAGAAATTATTTTTCACTTTTTATTGGACTAATTGAATTTGCAGAAAGACTCCAATACATTTTTTGTTCTTGATATATTATTAAGTAAAGTCATACAGCAGAATGGATGAAAAGACATTTGAGTATTTGAAATATGATCATAAAAGCCAGCCTTTCATGCACTTAATTAAACTGCTGTCTTTAATTTTGAATGCATTATTTCCACACTGGACTGATAATGTCTTATGCAATGCCCTTCTTATCTTTCTCTGAAGTCAGTAATATTAAAATCTGCCTTTTGAAATTAAGAAGCCAACAGCATTATGAATGTACTGTTATTTTGTCAAGCGCAGATATGGCTGCATTTTCTCTGCCATGCTAATGTTTCACTATCTTTGTGTGGCTTACGGGCCAGTCAACTATTACGCACAAATAGAGAGAAAGGAAATTGCTTCTGTCCATTTCAATGACTTATTCTCTGGTTGGTTTATTTATAATGATTTAAACAAAATCTTTTGGTGATTTATGAAGACTTCCTAAAGAAAAATAAGCAAATGTCAAGGTCAAACTGAAACTTGTTAACACGAATGCCATAAAAAATACAACAAAAAATAAATCAAGGAAAAATGGTCACAACATATCCATTGGGAATACGACTTTTATAAATTTGACAGTATTATGCCTTTGAAATAATGGAAAATCCCATGATCTCCAGACAGCTTTGGTTTTGAAATGAAAGATTTCTGTAGAGTATTTTAATTCTGAAATAAAACTTCTCTTAATTTGTATTGTAAAACATCACAGCTGAAAGCAGAACTAATGCAGAAACCAAGACATAAAGGGCTCTGTCCAACAACCCTTGGGAGCAGCTTTTCAAAAGAGCTCAGCTCCCATTTTTGTCACTGAACCGAATTGGCCATTCCTTCTGCGGCTGAAGACTTTAAACCTTCAGGCGCCTTTAGAGCCTTTTGGGATAGAGACAGTCTCAAAATCCTGCGAAGGCTCCCACAAGTGGCATAACTGTGAATATACTATGACAAACATATGAATGAAACAGCATTACTCACCTGCGTAAAAGCTACAAGAACAGAGACTGAAGGATGGCTAATTTCATACTGAAAGAAAGTGAAAGCTTGGTTTTGAACCCTGATTTTAGTAACCTAGGGCAAGACTGAGAACCTTAACAAGTAACCTTCAATAAAACTGAAATGTAAGTAAATTCTTTCAAGTTAGTTAAGGCCTGTGGGAGTGGAACTTTGATCAGCAACACCAAAAAAGTAGAGACTCATCTTAGAAGATGCTGCAACTGGAAATGTATGATAAACTTATCTGAATTGGATCAGGTAACGTCTTCATATCCTGGCACTAGACTGCGTACAAAGCTTCTAATAGCAGTCTTCAGTTAGTCAACAGCCACAGCTGTTGTAAGATGCAACAAGTGAAATATAGGCTAAATAAAGTAGTGCTCTTTCATGAGTTAGAGAGTGCCATAGAATGTGATGGGGTCTATCATCTGGGAACTAGAAGCTGCAATGCAAGGGACCATTATCAGAAGATGTAGATGTTAAACTGGATTTTAGTGCTATCAGCATAAAGGACCATGTTGCTACCTTTATTTAAAAAAAACTAGTTGAAAAAAAAATATTATAGAAACAGATACTTTGTATACTTCTGCGTACTTGAATTTTAGTGAAAAGCCATGCAGAATCCTATTAAAATTATTAGTGTAAAGTCTTAAATTATCAGCCCTCTGCAGAAACACACGACCCAGAGGTTTGAAAACTGGCATTCAGTTTTGGTCCAAAAAGTTCCCGTAGGAACTGTGATGGCATTTAGACATGTAACTACTCAAATAAGAGTGCCAATCAGGTAGTTAGCTTCTTGAAAGATACCAATTACGCACAATGATGGCCATAGACTACGATGACATTTCTCTTAAGTATCAAGACTTGTGTAAAATGGCATGTCTAACAAGCAATCATAGGGCTGAATGGCTGATGATGCATTTAATCTGAGCATAACATTTTTATGGACATGAAGAGCTATTTCATGTTTCACTTTCTAGTTTTCCAACAGAAATGTGATGCTGTTGTATACAGATTTCTAATATGGCTGAGCTGTTCTCCGTGAAATTAAAGACAGTATCTGGGCTGCTTTGAAACCGAATTAAGACATTCCTAATCAGTGGACATTCAAATATCAACAGCTTTCTTTTGTTTGAAATGACAGCAAAAATGCAGAGTTAGGAATCACCACACAGCAGGTGAGATTTTCTGATGTCTCGCACAATAAGAAGCCAAACACCCCTAAAAAGTCAGTGAAAGCTGAGGACTTAATTTTTGGGGGTATCCGAAGAAAAACTCACAGTGCAACTTAGGGTTGCCTACACAGCATCCTATTTCTTTCCACGATGTAAACACACCCGCACTTCTATCTTGTCTTCCTACTGTTAGCATCATAAAAGGCTGATACAAGGATCCAGACTGCATGAATCAACAGAAGCTTTAAAGTAGTTAATGCAGATGCTAATAACTATGTCACCTCAAGTCATTAATATGAAGGTTGTTTTTATGTGTTTTAGCTCAAAGTGTGATTTTCATGGAACATTTTGAGTTTGTACTTTTATTTCACTTAATGCTAGGGAAGCCTTGGGGACCACACCACTGGCTACACCGGTATCTGGGCCTTGTTGACCTGCTATTTTCACATTCAGCACTGTTTTTCTCTACTAACTGAGCTCTATCAACAATGGCAACAGTGGAAGAAACAGTTTAGGGACTTCACTGCTGGAATCACAACAGTTACCGTGCTTAGACACTATATTCTTGTCTAGGAGTACAGCTGAGCATGAGGGTAGTTAAACATAGCCATCCATCTACACTAAATTGCCAGTGTGTACTCAGAGAAGCAGGCCAGAAACATTGTTCTAAACTGGTAGAACATTTTCAAGATGGAAGAGTTGCTTAAGTGCATCTCAAAGAGAAAAAGAGAGTAATGAAGATTTAATCCTTTTCTTCCATCTTTCTCTTTCCAGTTTGTAGCAAATCTCAAGATTAGCCTAAATTGCATTTTGATTACATTTTCCAAGCATTCAAAAACATTCAGAACTTAGAAAAATGAACAGAATTGGACAGTTGAGATTATGGTGAGTTTAGATTGTCCTTGAAAATTAAGATGCATGTTCCTTAAAGCAGTTGCACAAGGGAGAACAAGGATTGTCACACACCAAAAAGTACATTTCCACATGCTATGTGAAAATGGGCTTTGAATAAATCAGATGAAAGTAAGTTTACTTGTAAATAATGTAATTTTCTTAGTGACATAGCTAAGGAACAAAGCACCGATAACCAACCGACCAGAAAAATGCCAGACACAAAAATCAAAAGTTAAGACTGGGAGACAACCAGACTGCATGTTTTCACTTACACTTAGAAAGTTCACCTAATGGTATCAAAAGATAAACGTAGGTTTGTATCTTGGTCATTACAGCAAAGGATTATTTATGTAAATGCCTTTACATAACAGAATCTAATTAGAAACATATATGAAAAAAA